CAATGACTCTCTCCCAGAGCTTCATTGTATGACTCATTAGCTTAATACCCCTATAGTTCATGCAATTTTGTACGTCACCCTTATTCTTGTAGATCGGCACAAAAGTGCTCGTTCGCCACTCATTTGGCATCTTCTTCGTTTTCAAAATCCTATTGAAAAGGTCAGTGAGCCATGTTATACCTGTCTCTCCCAAAACTTTCCACACTTCGATTGGTATATCGTCTGGGCCTACTGCTTTTCTATGCTTCATCTTCTTCAAAGCTACAACCACTTCTTCCTTCCGGATTCTACGATAAAAAGAGTAGTTTCTACACTCTTCTGAGTTACTCAACTCCCCTAAAGAAGCACTCCTTTCATGTCCTTCATTGAAAAGATTATGAAAATAACCTTTCCATCTGTCTTTAACCGCGTTCTCTCTGTAGCAAGAACCTTTCCATCCTCATCCTTGATGCACCTCACTTGGTTTAGGTCCTTTGTCTTCTTTTCCCTTGCTCTAGCTAATTTATAGATATCCAACTCTCCTTCTTTGGTATCTAGTCGCTTATACATATCGTCATAAGCCGCTAACTTAGCTTCTCTCACAGCTTTCTTCGCTTCTTGCTTCGCTTTTCTATACCTTTCACCATTTTCATCGGTCCTATCCTTGTATAAGGCTTTACAACATTCCTTCTTAGCCTTCACCTTTGTTTGTACCTCCTCATTCCACCACCAAGATTCCTTTTGGTGTGGGGCAAAACCTTTGGACTCTCCTAATACCTCTTTTGCTACTTTTCGAATACAACTAGCCATGGAATCCCACATTTGGCTAGCTTCCCTCTCTCTATCCCACACACACTGGGTGATTACTTTCTCTTTGAAAATGACTTGTTTTTCTTCTTTTAGATTCCACCATCTAGTCCTTGGGCACTTCCAAGTCTTGTTCTTTTGTCTCACTCTTTTGATATGTACATCCATCACCAACAAGCGATGTTGATTAGCCACGCTCTCTCCTGGTATAACTTTGCAATCCTTACAAGTTATACGATCTCCTTTCCTCATTAGGAGAAAATCTATTTGTGTTTTTGACGACCCACTCTTGTAGGTGATCACATGTTCTTCTCTCTTCTTAAAGAAGGTGTTGGCTAAGAAGAGATCATATGCCATTGCAAAATCCAAGATAGCTTCCCCATCCTCGTTTCTCTCCCCAAAACCATGGCCACCATGGAAACCTCCATAGTTGCCTGTCTCCCTGCCCACGTGTCCATTTAAATCTCCTCCTATAAATAACTTCTCCGTCTGAGCAATTCCTTGCACCAAGTCTCCAAGGTCTTCCCAAAATTTCTCCTTCGAACTCTTATCCAACCCTACTTGAGGTGCGTACGCACTAATCACATTGATAAGTTCTTGTCCTATTACAATCTTGATTGCCATGATTCTATCTCCTACCCTCTTGACATCTACAACATCTTGTGTCAAGGTCTTGTCCACGATGATGCCAACACCGTTTCTCGTTCTATTTGTGCCCGAATACCAAAGTTTAAACCCTGAGTTTTCTAGATCCTTTGCCTTACTACCAACCCACTTAGTTTCTTGTAGGCACATAATATTTATCCTTCTCCTCACCATAACTTCCACTACTTCCATAGATTTTCCCGTTAAGGTTCCTATATTCCACGTTCCTAAACGCATTTTGCTCTCTTGAACTCTACCCTTCTGTCCTAGCTTCTTCACCCTCCCCCGTCTAATAGGATCAAAGTACTTCTTTTGTGTGTCCCGTGTAAAGTTGATAGGAGCATATGCTCCCAAACAACTTTGAGTGGAGTCGTTCGAAAAGAAGTTTCTATGGCCCCCTTGCTCATTTAACACTGCATCCGGGTGCCGATGGAGATACAGCGACCCTTGCTCATTTATCACTGTGCTCGGGCCACACAGCGCGCCACTTACGGGTGACGCCCTAGCTTTAGCGCGATTTTGTTCTGGATTCATTTTCATAAGGATTCGACGTGATCATGGAGTGCCGGCTGTCGACTACCTGACGCCCTCCCCCTCCTCCTTTATCCGGGCTTGGGACCGGCAATGTAAGATACATAGGCGGAGTTTACAGGGAACCTTATCAAAAATTGAAAATGAATAAGGTTTTAATCAATGGAGTTGAAAAAAGAGGGATGTAAACCTAATTTCTCCTAAACTAATCTGAAATTGTAGATAACTTGTTTACCAAAAAAAAAAAATTGTGGATAACCTTATTTTTTTATCAATTAATCTGACCAATTCCAGTAGGACAACCGTTTTAACACATTATTTATCCAGCACCCCATGCTAATGACAACAGTTTCCAATAATTTATATATGAACCAGCTGGTGTATTATATCCAATAAAAAGTTGGAATTGGACGCACAGCGCCAATCGACCAACATACACGATTATGAATTCTCGAAATCTCTAAATGCATTTCAACTTCTATTTCAATTTTTGGGAAAATATTTGGATTCAAAATTTTCAAATTCAATTTTGAAAGTTTAATCGTCGGAATTAGAAACACAATACCAACTTACAACCTTATAAACGATCGAGCTATAAAGCAATACCTGCATGCAATGACGTTGTCATAAATAGTTTTTCGAGTACGTTGTGCTGGGTTTCCCAAGTATATATTCGTATCCATTTAATGACGTTTCACATAATCGAGTAAAAACAATTATGCAGATGTAGTAATCTTCCCTCGAAAATATAATTATTCCACACAGATATAGGGAATAAGTTCATGCATTTCATAATTTTCATTTACATTTTGAAATGTACGTATCAAGTTTTTAGGGTACTTCACGTGGAGAGATTTTTTAGTGTGCATGAGAACACGGTCCGGTACACAAAATGTTATAATACAATTGGTTGAATTTTTTTTTCAAGAGCAATTTTGCTCACCACCATAACTATAGTCTATAGTGTATACTCACCGTACATTTAATCAATTGACATATGTCATTTCATCTAACTCTAGTTAACTTTCACAATAAATTTTACTTTGTAAAATTTGAAGAAAATTAACCAAGATTAAGTGAAATGACACGTGTGAATTGATTAGGTGTATAGTGAGCATACATCATAGTTTATGATGGTGAGCAAAAATGCACCTTTTTAAAAAAAAAATTCTAACCAATTGTATTATAACATTTGGTATACCAAGCCGCATTTTTGCACACTGAATCAAGTGTATTGGTCGAGTTCAAATCTTCTTCATCCAAAATCTTCCTTGGCCTCTTTGTGTCTTATATACTTGAGTAACACGTGTCTTTTTTACTTTAATTTTTTATTTTTTATTAAAAAGATAAGTTAAAAAGTTAACAATGTTAAATAGGATTCAAATGATTGGTCAAATGCTAAGAAATGGGATAGATCACAGAAAAGGTACAAAAGATTTTGAGTGCAGAAACACAATAAACGATCGAGATATAAGGCAATATTTGCATGCAATGACGTTGTCATAAACTGTTTTCGAGTACGTAGTACTGGGTTTCCCAAGTATATATTCGTATCCATCAAATGACGTTTCACATAATCAAGTAAAAACAATTATGCCGATGAGTAATCTTCCCTCGAAAACATAATTATTCCACACAGAAAGAGGAAATAAATTCATGCATTTCATATTTTCATTTACATTTTGAAATGTACGTATTAAGTTTTTAGGGTACTCCTCATCAAGTGGAGATATTATTTTATTGTACATGAGAACACAGTTCGGTTTACAAAGTGTTATAATATAATTGGTTAATTTTTTTTTTCAAATTTTTAATCAATTGTATTATGACACTTGGTGTACCAGACTGTGTTTCTGGCACACTGAATCAAGTGTATTGGTCAAGTTGAAATCCTCTGCATCCAAAATCTTCTTTGGCCCCTTTGTGGAGAAATTTTTCATTGTGATTGGAACGTGGATGGTACATTACGTGTTTTTATATAAGTGGTAGAAAATTTTACTTTTTAAGTTATTAACTTTTTTAACACACATCCCACCATTTGCATAGTGACACGTGGTGTACCACCTTGTATTGCGGTCACACTGAAAAATCTCTCATGTTTGTGCCTTATATAATTGAGTAACACGTGTCTTTTTTAATTAATTTATCTTTAGTTGTTCTCTTATTTTTTTATTGAAAAGATAAGCTGAAGAGTTAACAATGTTAAGTGGAGTTCAAATGATTGGTCAGATGTCAACAAATGAGATAGGTCACATATAGGTCACATAAAGGCCACAAAAGATTTTGAGTGCAAAAGATTTCAACTCGTATTGTTCTTTTTAAATATAGAAAGTTTGGAATGCACAAAAAAGTTTTAAAATGCAAATAACACCACTCTTTTGTTATTGCATGCCTTTAACCAAAACTCAGAAACATTGCACATGGCGTTTAACTGCAGTGGCAGAAAGCAATGGTGCCTATGCACTCTAATGTGGGTTCGATCTTACCACTCACCCTCCTCCTAATAACTAACAATTTAACCAACTAACATTATCGTTTATAAAAAACAAAAAACAAAAAAAAAAACAAACAAACAGCAGCATTAGTCAGATGACTAATTTAAGAAAACTTATGTTATCCCCCAACCGAAGAGAAGGGCAAAAGGAAACTTAAGGGAGGTGATATTGCGCATCTTCATGCAACCACATACGTAACCATAAGAAGATAATTAGTAATTACCTTGTGAATTTAGAAGAATATATTGATTAATCCATATCAAGTTATCAACATGCTCTCTCCTCTCTCTCTCTCTCTCTCCACACACATATATATATATATATATATATATGTATCTATACACACACACACACACACAGATACACTTCGCACATGTTTATATACCAAATATACATACATACATACTTACATATATATATATACACCCACGTACACATACACACACATCGCACATGTTTATATACCAATAACGAAGTGCATATATATTCCTCCAAGAAAAGGGGTGACAAAATAAATAGAAGAAGGCATAAAGGATCCAAAAATACACAAAAATATATGTATTAATATGTAGTAGAATATGTACATTCACGAGCAGTACTGTCTATTTAAATCAGTAAATATCAGTGATAAAAGAGGATCTGATAAAACTGAAACATGCATGCCTCGCACTCGCTCGATCCTTAGCGTTTCGATTGCTTTCCATTACTGAACATAGAGCTCATTACCAAAAAGAACAATAGAGCTCTGTACGTACGAACTGTGGAGGAAGACTAGAGTGGTAGAGCCATGGCGACCAGTGGCGGTGGCCAATTTTGTTGTGGGGACGGCATTACACACCACATGACAAAACGAGATCGTCACCATTATCATTATCACAAGAGAACTGACGAGTGAAACAGTACTAAATATATATAGTTCCACCAGTACTACAACTGCTCTGCTCAATTCTCTGATTAGATTGAGAGTGATCAACAAAACTAGTAGCAAAAAAACAAAAACCCCAACACATAACACAGACAGACTGCATCTTTGAGTTGAAACGGGATCAAATCAAAGACCATGATGCAATTTTAGTTTCTACCTTTGGATTTTATATAAGGTTTCTCTCCTCACGAAAAAGATCCTACTGTTTTTTTCCTTCCTAACAAACCAAAGACCTTCTCTCTCTACGTCTCTCCATCTCTCTCCCACTCTCTCACCAATTTTTTTGGAGTAATGCAGGTAGTACAAACCACACCATCATTACTCATTTGTTCAATCACGGAAATACACCACAACAAACACGACAAACCAACCAAAGAAAAACCCAAACCACCAAAAGAAATAAAAGAAAATTAATTAAAACTAATAAGCCCTAGGCTTCATATTAATTAATCAAAGCGACCTGTGTTCAAGGATATTGATGTTATTAGTCCTTTGTCTCTTAGCACTCCCTGAGGAAGACTGATCCTGATCACCACCACCGCCGGCGGTCTTCTCCATGACCGCCTTCAGCGCTTCTTGTATCGAACTTTTGCAGTACTGCTGATGCGGCATTTGTATTTGCTCCCCTCCGCTATTACTTGAGTCCTCTTCTCCGGTGATAAACAACACGTTCTTCACACGTCCGCCGAGTGTTGTGATCTCAGCTTTGAGCGTTCTCAAGCGCAAGGCTTTCAATGTCTTGATTAGGTCGGGCAAGAGATCCGATCGGTCCTCGCAGCAAAGTGAGGCCTTTATCACAAACTTACCGTCCTCGTCAGATTCATCGTCTACTATTAGTTCGTCAGTTTCGGTCGGTACCGGACTCGTCTCGGCGATCAGAGAAGTTTGGCGTTTCAGCTCTTTCACATGTTGTATCACTTCCGCTAGCAATGAAGCTTTGTCCGTCTATATCACAAAAACAAAAAAGAGACTTAACAAAAGACACAAACCCTATTTATTTGGTTTAATGTTGATTAGTATTGCATTACATGCACTTGAACGAAATAACTAAGAATTTGGGTTAACTAATTAATGTTATTTTGATGAATGGCGTGGTTTTTGAAGGAAGATCATGGGATGGGTGTATATAGTGACTGACAAAGGTGCTACTTTGTCTGGCCTTTAATTTCTTTGATTTCTCGAACATGGTTTGACTGATGTGTGATATATATGATATTTCCGGCAAGAATTTTCCATGAGAAGCTTTTTAACTGCTCCATGGTTCCTCTTTATCACATCAACACTTCGACATTACGCTTATTCTTCCTTTTTCTTTGGTTTTTTTTTTCTTTTTCCTTTCTCACCTCGGAACTACCACACGACTCAGAAAAGAAGAAACCAAAAGAAACAAGAAAAAGGATGGAAAAGCTTATTCATAAAATGTAACCACATTTCTAATGAAAGATCGCTAGGTCTCGACTCTTGATGGAAAGTGCGCATAATCTTAAAGCCTAAATAGAATCTTAAGAAGATCCACAAAGATCTTGGATTGAAATTGAAAAGCTAGCTCCTTACAAAACAAAACAAGAGAAACCGAAAAAGGGTAGGAAAAAGAGAATATTGTCACACCCTATATAAAATACAAAATGTTGTAGTCCGCTGGAGATGGTGGGTGGGTGATGGATAAGGGAGGCTAGGTTCAAAGTTCGAAAACCTCCATATAACAAAAAAAAAGGAAAAAAAAAACATGTTGTAGGCGCATGATAATATCACTTATGTTTGAGTTTTTTTTTGTCGTTTCAATGTTATTGTTTTCAGCATATACTTACTTTGGTGGTGCTGGGCAATAAGCTGCGCAACTTGGCGAGATGGTTGTTGATTCTCTCTCTTCGTCTCCTCTCAGCCTCGCTGTGACTCTTAGAAGCGGCGAGTGCCTTGGCGTCCATGATTTCTTGGGCGGTCAACTTTCCTAACTCGGCCTGAAGACCGAAAGGGGCCGAACCGGGTTGAACCATCGGTCCAAGCGTCTCGGACAAAATTCTGAGGTGGTGGTGGTGGTCAGATGTTGAACCGTCGTATGTGAACTGGAGAGAAGGAGCTCTTCGGTTGAAGAAAGAAGCATAGGATGATGACGACGGAATTGGGGGAGGAGTTGGGAGGAGAAATGGGTCGTGGGCGGTTGGGTTGAAGGTGTGGTTCGGTGGGAGAGTCCATGGCTGCAAGATTGGAGGAGGAGGTTGATGATCATGTGGAAAAATCAAACCTTGTTGTTGTTGCATCTGATGATGTTGTTGTTGTTGCATCTGATGATGTTGTTGTTGTTGCATCTGATGATGTTGTTGTTGTTGGAGAAACAAGTGTTCTTGGAAAGCTTGTAGGTTTTGGACTGACTGAGAGCACTCCCCTTGATCTTCTTTCTTCCCACACATCATCTTCCCTTCTCGAGTATATTTCTAGGCTTCTAGCTAGGGCTTCATAAAAAGATGAAAGTACTAATTTTAAAAGCCAAGGAATTGAAGAGAAGGATGAAACGGAATCAAAGGAATATAAATATATGTGTGTGTGTGTGTGTGTGTGTGGAGGGTTTTGGTGTTTCAGGGGGATCAATGTTCTTCTCTTTCCCTCTCTCTTGTGGTTTTGTTGTTTTCTCGCTCTATCTCAATCACTCGGGTAGGTTTTTTGATCTGCCACGCCTTTGTGGGCTTTGTGTTTGTTGGGGTGAGGACCCTTTTTATCCTTGGTTTTCAACCGAGCTTTCCTTTTCCTTTGTGCTTTGTTGGTATCTTTTTGTTTCCTTTGTTTTTTTTTTTGCTCTCTCTCCTCTCTCAACTCTTTTATCTCTCCCTATCTCTCCCTCTCTCCCCCTCCTTCCAAACCTGTGACTCTCTCTGCAACTTTCCACCACTCTAAATATATAGTCTGTTGAGTACTGCTAGTCTCCTTTCCTTTCTTCTTACGGCATTCTCTATCCATTCCATTGCTGTAGCTTTCAGGGTGGGGATGGATCCCTTTTCTATTTTATTCATTTATCTTTCCACTATTCATTTTTTTTTATATACGCACATTAAATATAATTTAAACCTAAAAGCATAATCCTCCATGTAAAATAAAAAGCATTTTGCTTGTTGCTTTGTGATTGGTTCAAAGCAAATAATTACACTTTGTGAGTGCAGTAGTACCACTTGGAGAGAGAGAGAGAGAGAGAGAGAGAGAGAGAATGGAGAGAGAGAGAGAGAGAGAGAGAGAGAGGATTGAGTGAAGGAGGAGATAGCTATATAGAGATGGGAAACACAAGCAGGCAGCACAATTAACCAGAGTGAACGCACAACACACAGATTGTCGACCGACCAAAGATCAAAAAGGCAGAGAAGTATCATCATGATAAAAGGCGTAGCCAAACCCTTTGCCTTTTTGTTTTTCTAATTTTTTAAATTTCTTTTTATATTCTTAATTTATATTATTTAATTTTATTATTCATGATTGAAGAATAGGCCTTTCCTTTCATATATACCTCGGTCAAGTCCCCACGTTCTTCCATACTCTTGGCTATTTCCATGCCACCCTTTCTGCTTCCCCAAGACTATGTAATCATTGTGTCTTGGAGCACACTCCACACCCCGCCCCCTTCTCTCTCTCTCTCTCTCTCTGAGTATTATAACTTGGTTTTCAGTCTCATATGATATCTCTACAAATACATGGTGTACAATATTGCATATTACTTATGCTTCTTACCGGTCCTTTTGAGCTTGAAATGTTGTACAATTCCTTTATCATGGGATATTCGCGTGAAGGAGCAAGTTCAATTTCAAAGGCATCCTTCATACTCTTGCTGCCCTCATACTCATTAGAGAGACTCAATTACAAGATGAAAACTAAACAACATAATACTAAATTATTGAATCGATATACTGCTACAGTAACGTCCTTAGTGCATGTAATTCTTGCCTCATAACTCCTTATAGATGTCGTTAATTATAACTTGTCTGAATTTAATTCTTAGCCACATTCCAACTAGGACAAAATGATGATGAATACTTGGGAAAAATATGAAAAAGTGTATATCATTTGGTAGTTGGTAAGATTTCTCATTAAAACATGAAAGGCCATGGCAACAATAACACCAAGGGGAAGGAGGAAGGGGAATAATTGATGTTTCCAAACACTTTTTGTTGTGTGGCAACTGGGCACGCCATTCCAGGCTCCTCCCTCCTCTCTTGTCAATGTTGTTGTTCTAATCTTGCACCAGGAGCTTTATTTCCCTGCCCCTACTGGTTGCTGGTTGGCCCTAAAGAGGTTTACACCTTCTTTTACTTATCATGCCTTTATGTTAAAAACAAGATACAACAATATTAACATGCCTTAAAGCTACTCACTGTCAATGCCTTCTGGGTAATCCCACAGTTAAATATTTGTGCATATATTTATAGAAGCAGCATGGGTAACCAAAAATCATTATTAACACTAGTTACCTTTTAGTTATTTCCCCTTCCAAAGCAATAATTAATTGTTTTTAGTGAGAGAGCGATCCCCTTTTTTGTCTTAGTCTCTTTGATATAAGGTAATGTTAGAAAGACAATCTATTTAAATCATATTTTATTTATTATATGACGTGCTTGATGATGATTAAATTATATAACTTAAGTGTTGATTAACGTGTTTAATTTTTATTGGTGACACATCACATGGTTTGTATAATTAAATATGTTCTAAAAAATTGGTCTAACTGCCACTTAGTACTAATGGTCTAGTGGTATTCCTCTTCACTTGTAAGTGAGAGGTTTTAGGTTCAATTCTTACCAAAGGCGAATTTGAACCACATTATTGTTAGCCCATTGTGAGGTTAAGACAACCCGTCCCTCTTAGGGTATATAATATTGTTTGTTAAAAAAAAAACAAAAAAACAAAGAGCCTACACAAAAAATAGGTGCAAAAGATTTAAAATCAATCTAAGGCCATCTCCAGCCAAAGACTGTATTGTTAGAGATGAAAAAAATTAGCCTTAGAATAGTCTTTAAAATATTAATTTTGGATAACTAAAACATAACTAAAAGCTACGTTTAGCTTTGCATGACTAAAGATGGCCTAATCCTAACTCAATATCTCATTCTCACTCACTAGCCACTGTCGCCACTTAAGCTAACGCCAACAAGGGCTTTGATCCAAAGTGGCTTTAGCTATAGCTACTAAACTGTTTAACTTTAAAATGATGAATTAAACCCATTAAGTAACAAGTACAAGCAAGTTCATTCCAATGTCTCCTCTAGTGCACCTCCTCTCCCTACATTTGGGTCAGTCACAAGGCACTGTTACTATTTTCTTCTGCAACCTGGAAGCTTTGTAATCTTTAAACATGTTCAGTGTACTTTTATTTCATATATACACATATCTTTATTTGTTTTTAATCATATTTTCTAGGGCTTGGAGACTATGGGAAGGGTTTACCTTTGGAGGGACTTTGTGATCACTGTTCACACGCATGGAGTTTGGTCCCAATAAACTTTTTATACCTTTCTTTCTATTTTTTTTGTAGCTTCTTAATATTATTTCTGTTATATATAATATATATTGATTATATATATATATATATATATATATATATATATTACAGCATGCTGATTCAAACATTTGATGATAGCTGCAGCACCACTAACAAAATGCACGAGAAGGGCTTTATGTGGGGTTTATGATGACATCAGTCCCACCCTGTCATGACGCTTGTTCCCTCTCACCACTATTCGTGCTTATTGCTGCCTAATGCCTCCCTCTCTCCTGCAGGCATCGTGAATTAAGCTTCCAACTTCATTACCAGCTGTGTCTGTGTTGGTTTATATAATGAGTGTTCTTTGAATTCCCTTCACATTTTTTTAACCAATGTTCATGTGCTTTTCTTTTGGACAAAGTTTCATGCTTCTTGACTACTCCTCCCCATTTCAAGAAACTATGACCTAACAACAAATAATCAAAAGAGTAAATTGTAGTAATGGTTCCTCAATTTTAATCAAATTGAAGCAATGATCCCTTAACTAAAAATTCATTACCATTGGTCCCTCAATTTATCAAAAAATGTAGTTATAGTCATTTTTCATCATTTTCGTCAAAATTTTGTCAAAATAAGTTATGTTGGAATAACCATTTATATAATTAGGGTCCCTCAACTTATCAAAGTGTGTAATTATGGTAATTTTCGTCATATACGTCAAATTTTTGTCAAAACGAGTTATGTTTGAAAGACCATGCTACAATTGGGTTAAAGTTAAGAAATCATTTCTCCAGTTGAATTAAAGTTGAGAGACCAAAGGTAATGAATTTTTAATTGAGGGACCATAGCTGCACATTTTGATGAGTTGAGAGATCAATGGTAATGAATTTTTAATTGAGGGACCATTGCTCTAATTGAGTTAAAGTTAATGAACCATAACTACAATTTACTCTAATAAAAAATATCATCGGTAAAAACTAAAGGGAAACTCTACTGTACCTTTAATAAATTTAAATTATAATGCTGAGCGTTTACTGTCTAATCTTACATAATTATAGTGTTATAGAATGATATTATTTATTAGACTAGCAACATTAATTATTACGCCATAAACGTCTTGTTACAGTATGGACATAAAATATTATTAGCTGACACCATGTAAGGTACATGTCAAATTTAGTGTAACAACATGTCATTAACATTCGGCATCTGAATCACACAAAATGTGTAGTTAACTCTATGAAATCGTAATATTACAATTACATAATAATGATAAAATTATCACGGAATGACATTGTTATTATTGTTACAAGTTTAGTTGGTCTTATATTATGGACGTCATATACACTGTTAATTATTTAGGATCATTCTAGGATGCTAATTACATTACAAAAACATTGTAATTAAAGGGTACATGTACCATATTTTAAAAAGGTATAAAAAAAACTAGGAAACTTTAACGAAAAACTCCCGATACTGTTCATTTTAACGAAAAACTACATTTTTACACTAAAAAGTCAATCCTGGTACTATTCACTTTACCCTTTATTTTGTCATTATCGTTAAAACTCAAAGTTTTCAAGTTATTTTCATTAGTTTTCCTAAAAATCTAACCTAAGACTAAATATTCATAGGGGGAGATAACTAAAACTTAAAACAAACCCGTTCGAGTGTTCCACAAATAAGAAGAATTACCGGTACATTTCTTTTTCAAGGAGCAAATAGCCTCTATTGGTACATATTTGAACTCGTCTCCAGGGAGTTTAAGAATATAATATTTAGATTTTAGCACAAGCAAGAAAAACCCCACATTTTGATGCCATCATGAAAACAATGGGCTAAGTACAAGCATGATGGATATCTTGTGCAAAAGCCGTAACTTACCTTCAGAAGTAAACTTTAATTCTTAGTGGACCAACCATGCATGCATACTCTGTACACATTCTGTAATTGTAGGTACTGAAATTAAATTACAAGTTATTATATAAATCCACTGACATGCATATCCTTCCTCCACTGAAAGATATATGAATTCATACTCTTTGCCAATTGTTACCACCTACCACTAGATTTGTAAATATTTAAGGTTTAGTTCAGGAAAAAAATATATGCCATCCTCCGAAATATTGGTCCCCTCAATCCGCAGATAGGAAGTGTTATGCCCCATCATCAGGGACGAATCAAGAAATTTAACTAAGAGGGGGCACCTTAAAAAATTTAAGCTTCTTTTTGGACAAATAAAGCTAGTTTTATTGCAAATGCTGAAACAATTAGTTACAAAATGCCTAATTTTATTACTCTATTGTCTAATTTTATCTTTAATTGTTGTATTGACAATCTAATGCTTTTTGTTCTAATTAACCAAATACATGCAACTC